CACGTGTCACACCACTGGGGACAGTGACACATCATTGTCATTGTCCCTATGGCCACAGAGACCTCCCCGTACAGCACGTGGCACACCGCTGGGGATGGGGACATGTCATTGTCATTGTCATTGTCATTGTCATTGTCATTGTCATTGTCCCTATGGTCACAGAGACCTCCCCATACAGCACATGGCACACCGCTGGGACAGGGACATGTCATTGTCATTGTCCCCATGGCCACAGGGACCTCCCCGTACAGCACGTGGCTCACCCCTGGGACAGGGACAGGGACACGTCATTGGCATTAGCATTGGCATTGGCATTGGCATTGGCGTTGGCATTGGCATTGGCATTGTCCCCATGGCCACAGGGACCAGCCCCAGGCACTCCCCGTACAGCACGTGGCACACCACTAGGGACAGGGACATGTCATTGTCATTGTCCCCATGGCCACAGGGATCTCCCTGTGCAGCACGTGGCACACTGCTGGGGATGGGACAGGTCATTGTCATTGTCCCCATCACCATGGCCACAGGGACCAGCCCCAGGCGCTCCCTGTACAGAACATGGCACACCGCTGGGACAGGGACATGTCATTGTCATTGTCATTGTCCCTATGGCCACAGAGACGTCCCCATACAGCACATGGCACACCGCTGGGACAGGGACAGGGACATGTCATTGTCATTGTCATTGTCACTGTCCCCAGGGCCACAGGGACCAGCCACAGGCGCTCCCTCTACAACACGTGGCACACCACTGGGGACAGCGACATGTCATTGTCATTGTCCCCACAGCCACAGGGATCTCCCTGTGCAGCACGTGGCACACCGCTGGGGATGGGACAGGTCATTGTCATTGTCCCCATCACCATGGCCACAGGGACCAGCCCCAGGTGCTCCCTCTACAACACGTGGCACACCACTGGGGACAGTGACACATCATTGTCATTGTCCCCATGGCCATAGGGACCAGCCCCAGGCACTCCCCGTACAGCACGTGGCACACCACTGGGGACAGGGACATGTCATTGTCATTGTCTCCATCCCTATGGCCACAGGGACCTCCCTGTACAGTACCTGGCACATGGCTGGGGACAGGGACAGGGACAGGGACAGGGACAGGGACAGGGAGAGCCAGGGACATGTCCCCATGGTCACAGGGACCATGGAGCACATGGCACACTGCTGGGAATGGGGACA